CATAACGGTTGATAAGCTTATTGCAAAAATTTATTGATAGCGACATAAATTACCCCAATAACTTAACCTTTAAATTTTTTTATTTTTTAAATTGAAATAGTATATACGGGTTTGTAGAGTACATAGAGATGTATGTACTTATATTAGGGTGCCCATCGAAAATCTTTTTCTTGTACGTTAGTACTACGTATTTTCAAATTGTGGAAATTATCGATGGTCAAAATTTAAAATTTAAATTTTCGATGGGAAACCTAATGTATATACTTTATAGACTTTCTTCTGTTCGCCCGTCCATCAGCAGCAGTCACTCAACATTTGAATTCAAGTAGGAAGTAACGTAGTTTAAATTCAAAACTAATTCAATGAATGAATTAACTAGAATTATAATCTGATGACATGATAAGATTGGAAGCCTCATGGCTCTTTGGAATCTACCTTATGAGCAGTAGCGCCGGCGGTTCCAGACGCGCCGGCGTCGCCGCCGCCGCCGATTTTTTTTGAAGTTGACCACGCCGCCGCCGCAAAGACTGTCGGCGTAAACCTCTAGTGCACAAGTGCGCTCGGATATAAAAATAGTTTGTTAAAACTTACATATCTATATGTGTTTCGGTTATCAATTCCCTCGTTTTCCTTCATTATTAACTTGATTTTTGTTTTGTAACAGAACAGGCTTTAACACACATGCAAACATTTGGTACAGAACCTGGTATTTTTTTAATTTTTCTTCTGTTAAAGTTTAATTTTTTTTCATTAAAAAATAAAAAAAAACTGAAATGATTAATTAATTTGTCAGAAACTATCAGTACAAACGGAAAGTGATGTATACATGGTTTATGGAGAATTTTATTAGCTTTGATTTGATTGTTAAATTGGTTCGAAGATATACGTGATTAAGTGGAACCACATTTTCTTCTAAGCTGAATAACGGTAAATTGCAAATATTTCGAAAACTTATGCATAAAAAAAAAATTAACTGGATTTTCGGAATCACGGAGCAATTCTACATAGAAATTGGATAGTGGCATCCATTGAACATTTTTGCTGTAAACCAGTGTAATTAAAGTTTTCAATATAATACGTGTACATCGTTTATTAAAAATGTAAGTATGTATGCACATACATATGTGCATATTTAAATATTTCTTTATTTATCATAATGACACTAGCATAACAAGTCATTATTGATAATATGTACATGCCAATTAAAATTACATACCGTCGCCCTTATGCCGGAAACATGAATATGTAAAAATTAAAATTTTGGGAAAGCAAGTTTGATTTTTTTTTTTACAGACAACTCTACATTTATGCAATTGAAATTGTAAAATACGTAGTTTCCATGTAAGCATGGTATTCTGGATTTGGTATAACGTAGAACATCGAAAGGTTAATCAAGTCAACCCAATAACTCCAAAACTGATAAATTTGCACATTCATGCTTCTGGATATGTACAAAATGTGGATACAGTGATTTTTTTTTAAATATTAACAATGTTTTTCATGCTAAATGTTTTTCGTAAACTTTATATTTATAGCTGCGAGTAAAATAAGAAGAAGAAGAATGTTTGCTGCGTGTATTTATGTATTTTTAATAATTTTCATTTAAAATTAACTTTTAACTTGAACTTTTTATTCAGAATCTTTATAAGAATTTCGGGGATGCAGTTGTGTAGCCCATTCAATTTTAGTATAATAAAGTGCAAGTTTTAAGTCGTTAAAATTACGGTTGATTTTTTAGATTTTTTTTTGTGGAGCTGTTGCGCATTTTAAACCATATAAAATGTTTGTGAACTTTGTGCTCATACGAGCGCCTGCCATATGCAACGCCTTTTGTGCCCATTAGCGGCAGCACAGTTAGTGAATCGCACAATCGTTACTGCAAACAACAAAAATTGTTATCTTACAACTCGAAAAGTCGCATCGTTAAAAGTTTGTGAATCGCACTACAGATGCAACAGCAAGAAACACGTAAATATTGTTTTTGCTCTATTACTATTACCTGTTTCATGAGCCTTGATTTAACGCAAACATCTCCGAACTTAATTAAGTTTCACTTAAAAAAATTTTTCGTCCGAACACTGTCAACAGCATCTGATTTGATTGGCTTTGCCGAAGCACCAGGAAAGCATCAGTCAATCGTCAATTATCGTAAGATGCATAAAAACGATGATAGTACCTATGTATGTATATGTACATGTTCTACGTCGCAGAAGGTAGCATTTTTACATGTGTTTGGAAAATCAAAAAATGCCCATCTTTGATCTATATACATACCCTGCATTAAATTGCGGCAGAACTAATACTAGGTTCACATATAAGTAGATTATCCTCATTTTCGAGCTTAACACCCTAATCTGTAATTATAACAAGATATTAGCCATATAAAATTCGTCCCTAGTTAATCTGTAATTATAAAATAATCCCAGATTAAACCGATTACTTTTCGGTGTCCATCCTAGTTTTATCGATTGTTTTTGCAAAAAAGAGGTGAAATGCCAAATGTAAAAGTAAACAAAAATGTACGCTAGCAAGGAAAAGAGGTTTGTAAAGGTATTTTTAATAAAATGTTAACTTAAAATATATTTATATTGCCTATTATAGCATAAAAACGTGATCACGGTGCCACAGAGAAGAAACATAACTTTTCCTTGAGATGTGAGAATAACAAGCACAACAAATTTGTCGGCTAATAATCTGAGATTTGCCTGTGTAAACGGGGTGATTAAAAAACGAGCTTTGATTGTGATAATATTGATATGTGAACATAGTTTAAGGTAAAGTAATCGTAATCCTTATCGCCCAGCTCTGGGCAGAACTAGCTCCTCTGCAGCAAATCAAACTGGTTCAGAACTTGCGCTGAGCTAGCCTGAAAAGGGACGGTACTGGCTCTTCATCTATCCCAAATCAATGCTTTCAATTGTCTTTTTTTTAACATGGCGATGTCCTACGAAGTGACAATTGTCGCCCTCTGCAGAACTTTTGAAGTTGTCCTGAGCTGACTCTGGCTGAGATGGTTCTGNATAATATTGATATGTGAACATAGTTTAAGGTAAAGTAATCGTAATCCTTATCGCCCAGCTCTGGGCAGAACTAGCTCCTCTGCAGCAAATCAAACTGGTTCAGAACTTGCGCTGAGCTAGCCTGAAAAGGGACGGTACTGGCTCTTCATCTATCCCAAATCAATGCTTTCAATTGTCTTTTTTTTAACATGGCGATGTCCTACGAAGTGACAATTGTCGCCCTCTGCAGAACTTTTGAAGTTGTCCTGAGCTGACTCTGGCTGAGATGGTTCTGAGAAGTATAGTATAGAGCCTTTTCTTTAAATAAGCATGCATACAATTTTGTAAATAAAAAATACTTAATTTTATGTTTAAATAACTATTTGTTTTACACTAATTTACTTTTTGAGGCAAATTGTGCTTTAAAATTAGGAACATAAAGTGTCAGTTATTCCTTCATTTTCTGAAACCGTTATTCTTAAAAATAATATATATTTCTTACGTATAACGTATATTTCCGTGATACTTATAATTAAAAATCTAAACTAAGTCGTGTGAAAAATGAGAAAAACGGTGATATATTGAATACTTTTTTGTGATAACTCAGCTTTAAATTGTATTAAGAATATATAGAATTTTAAATATTCACAATGGTTTTCATGCTAAATATTTTTCTTAAATGTTTTATTTAAGGATGGCTCATAAGTATTATAACATAAATATATAAATTCACGTTTCTAACTGTGTTGGAAATTTTGTAGAATTCTGGGTCACCTCCGAGGTAGGAAAAATGTGGTTAGTTTTGAGCTGGTTCTAAGAAGTATAGTATAGAGCCTTTTCTTTAAATAAGCATGCATACAATTTTGTAAATAAAAAATACTTAATTTTATGTTTAAATAACTATTTGTTTTACACTAATTTACTTTTTGAGGCAAATTGTGCTTTAAAATTAGGAACATAAAGTGTCAGTTATTCCTTCATTTTCTGAAACCGTTATTCTTAAAAATAATATATATTTCTTACGTATAACGTATATTTCCGTGATACTTATAATTAAAAATCTAAACTAAGTCGTGTGAAAAATGAGAAAAACGGTGATATATTGAATACTTTTTTGTGATAACTCAGCTTTAAATTGTATTAAATGTATTGAAAGGTAATACATAGACTCCCGGCATCGAATTAAGAATATATAGAATTTTGAATATTCACAATGGTTTTCATGCTAAATATTTTTCTTAAATGTTTTATTTAAGGATGGCTCATAAGTATTATAACATAACTATATAAATTCACGTTTCTAACTGTGTTGGAAATTTTGTAGAATTCTAGAAACTGTTATAAAAACTTCAATGTTTTAAATCAGAGTTTATAAGTATGCAGTTCTTTATATAGCCCATTAAACTTTAGTATAATTAATTGCGCTTAACTCTTTTTACGCACGCTCTTGAATGTATTATATTTAAGTATTTTCGTTTAAGATGCAAGATTACACTTTACACCAGTGGTCGGCAAGAGAACTGCTCCGCATGAGTAACCGAGTAGGAAATTACGAGAAGTGAAATAAACTTTTTAACGCATCGGGCTTCAATAAATACATATATTTAACACATATCGTCACGTTCATGTAAAAAGACGTAACAAACATCGTCACTGGAATGCAAAAAGACGTAACTAATAAAAAATTCAAAGCACACTTTTTGATTTATATAATGGATTTCATTGAATTACAACTCGTGGGGAGTTTTATTGTTTTATAAAAAAAAAAAATATTACTTACGTCTTTTTCTATTCTGTCCTTTTGTATTTGAGGTGACGATATGTATGTGTTAATCGGTCTTTACTATAAGTGTCATAAAAAAAAACAAAAAAAAAAAAAAAGTTCGCAGCTTCATACGTGTTGGTTGGCCAAAGCACCTATCAACCACCAATTCGCACATTTTACCGTTTTTCAATAAAAAAATTTCTTTAACTGTTAATAATGATATTATATATTTGCAGGGCCAAGCAAACCGAGTTGTCATTCCGCTGTCCTTACGTAAACGTTTATTGCAGCTCCTGCATGACGGCCATTGGGGTGTGGTGAAAATGAAGCAGCTTGCTCGCAGCCACTGCTGGGGGCCGGGTATCGACAAAAGCATCGAGAACCTCGCTAAAGACTGCGAAATCTGCAAAACGAACTCATCTAATCCTGCTTGCGAATTCAGCAACTAGCCGGAGGCCGCACGACTTCGCGGGGCCTGTATTTAATCATATGTGGCTAGTATGTGTAGATGCATACTCGCAATATCCCTATGTGAGACAGCTGAAAACAACGACGACGACAGATACCCTTATGGCTCTATCCGCCATATTCGCTATTGAAGGGCTTCCCGAGACGCTGGTTAGTGACAATGGGCCGCAACTGACAGCCGACCTCTTCAAACAATTTTGCGCTAAAAATGGAATAAAACATGTCACATCAGCACCTTTTCACCCGGCATCAAACGGATTAGCTGAACGCTTTGTTCGCACTTTCAAAACGGCAATGGTCAAGAATTTGCAAGATGGCTTGTCGATTCCAGCTGCTTTGATAAAATATCTTTCGACGTATCGTTCAATGCCCAACGCTGATGGTAAGACACCTACACAACTATTGCATGGTCGCGCCGTTCGCACGTTGCTTTCGCAAGCACTGCCAATCACTCAGAGTGAACCGAACAAAAAGGCCAACGCAAAATTTAAACCCTCGCAATTGGTTTACATGCGGAATTATGCTCGCGGCCCTAAGTGGATAAAAGGTTGCATCGACAGAGTTCTGGGCAAAATGACGTACATCGTACATTCCCCGATGGGCTATCAAAAACGACACCAAAACCAACTCAAGGAAAGAAACGAAGATCGTCCCACAGCGCAACCTTTTTTCGANCATGGTCGCGCCGTTCGCACGTTGCTATCGCAAGCACTGCCAATCACTCAGAGTAAACCGAACAAAAAGGCCAACGCAAAATTTAAACCCTCGCAATTGGTTTACATGCGGAATTATGCTCGCGGCCCTAAGTGGATAAAAGGTTGCATCGACAGAGTTCTGGGCAAAATGGCGTACATCGTATATTCCCCGATGGGCTATCAAAAACGACACCAAAACCAACTCAAGGAAAGAAACGAAGATCGTCCCACAACGCAACCTTTTTTTGACGCCACTGTACATAAACATTCGTCTTGCGCTGTTAATCCCGCTGAGC